GATGGCTTTTTTTTCCACTATATATTGTATATTCTCTTTTCCACACTACGCCTCTTGACTAGTTTGTTAAAAAGGTGAGAAATCTAGGCACTATGCACTTATCACCTGACATGTGCTACTCAAAACTGTCAATATTAGAGAGCACAATGCATAAGAAAGTGAGAGGAATTCAAGTTAAGTCCGCATGCATCCTAAACAATTGCTGAAAGAAAGGTCTACTCTTTCTCCAAACAAATTTCTCATCCTGTGAGACCCATAGAAAAAATATATATTGTGAGGAAATAACAAAGGAATCTTGACTGATTGAAACAAGTTTTAGCTAAAAAAGCTCAAGGAGCACAGATTTAAGCTAACACTTGTTGATTCTTTGCTAGTAGGCTGATTGCTCTTTATAAACCACCCCCTTACAGATGAGGTAGAAAAAAACAAAATGAGAAAGTAAAGGATGAGAAACACAGTAAAAATTGCAGGTGCAGCTGGGCTGGAATGCAATGGCACAGCTGGTAGGAAGAGAGTGACCCTGCCCACGCTCTAACAGCACATTTCACAACTCAGCAGTCAGCAGATCCTTTTGAGGATAGCACTGCTAACATCAAAAGAAATGTTAGAATTCTATTTGCAAGAAGCAGATATTGAACTTCCTTACCATGGAGCATCAATCTGCTTTCATTATCTTAGCCCTATGTGTTGCCAAACAAGCCACAGAGTTCAGCCTTCAAACTGCTGCATAATAAGAAATGAACAAACCTTGCTGCTTGTTGATGGCTTTGCTTTCCCACCTACTAGTTCAAAATCTCAGTTCTGAAAATAAATCCCTGAAATACTCATTTCTCAGTTAGTGTTTCTAATGCCAGTATAGAATGGAAAGGCTTAGAAAATTATGTTTTTATGTATTTCATCTGGCAGTATCATTTCCCTCCCGTTCTCCCCTGTATTTTTAAAGGCATCAGAACAAATCCTGCTCTTAGCAGTATTTCTCGGAGTTCAATATGGGACGTAGATGAAAGCAACAATTAACATGTAAACTTTGGAGCTCAGACACATGAGTAAGATAATATGATTTATATCTATCGAGTTGGAATAACTGCCTGTACCTGCCCTTTTGTCTTGTCACAAACTAAAACGTATTAGCTAGCACATTTCAGTTTGCTTTTAGAACTGCCTGGGAATACACAAATGTTCAGGTACTGCCTAAGCTAATATATCACGTAACTTGTTATAACTCTTACTGGTATCTAAAATCTTATTAGGCAGATGAAATGACTTGCCTCCCAAGCCAACCTGGAAAAAATTATGAAGATATAGTTAGTGCCTTCACTAGTTATACTTCCATTTTCTCTAGCCTGGGATGGTATTGCTCTGTCTTGCGAAGAAGAATACCAATTTATTTTCCTTTATGTCATTTCTATGATCTCAACTGAGGACAGAACTGATCAAAAAAGCAATACTTTAGCTGCACACCAACTTCTGGTGATTCCAAAAAAATGCTTTCATTATGAATCAGGATAAAAAAATGAAATTCAGAAATATTTTCTAGAAAAGAGGTCCTAAGATACGTTGATTCGCAGCCATCAAAACAATCACATCTAAATGTTCTATTTAAACAATATACAATACCCATTTCATTAGTATTGAACATGATGCATAATATAGATGAATAATATGTAACTTATGCTACATTATGTGTTTAAAAGTTCAAAAACCAAAATCCAAATCATATTCTTGTCATTCTGAACAACTAAAAATATTTCTGTCAAAATTTCCATCACAGGATTTTTATATCAGTGATCACTGTGAGAAAATTTATCTAACGTATTTGAGTATTACCAGCCATTTCATTGGATTGGTTCCTTTCTCAAGTGCATTAGGAAGTTGCAGAAAGGAGGCCCCGGCCAAACCCACGCAGACGTGAGCAGGGACAAAGGAAACTCTCCTTGCCCACTGTCCCCTCTCCTTGCTCTCTGGCTTCTGCCCTGCCCTGTCCTTCTGTCACTCTTCGTGTCTTCCCCGTGAGGCACGTCCAGCTCTGCTGAATCTTTGCTCTATTGGCTTTTCAGTAACTTCAGTCTCCCAGGCAAAGGCTACAGTGCTGTTGGCTCTGCTTTTGCAGTGTTAATGAAACCTTCCAGCTGGTGTTTCAGCAGCCTTGTTTCACCCCGATCATATCGGAATCTGAATTCAGATTCCTGAGGTGAAGGACTGGAGTGCTGAATCTGGCACTGGCACCAAGGCCCTTGCAAAAGGCAAGAATGAAAGACTTATTCTTTCAGCAAATGAGAACACCGTGCCTGCCATAATGAATTTGAATTGTTCAGTGTTCTGAACTGTCTCTTTTTTCTTCTTGAGTGGTATTATAATAAAAGAACGTGGCTAACGACAAGAACATTGTCATTGTTTTCTGCCCTGTAGTAATGATTAAGTGCACTCTTCTCACTCTTTGTAACTCCAGGCACAAGTTAGCTTATGAAAATGAAGATGTCTTTCTTCCTTATATATATATCACCTCTAAAATGGTGTTTTGCTTTCTGACAACAGACAACAGGAGACACAACTATGAGTCTGTCATGACCATGGTAGGCATTAAGCAGGCAGAATTACAGCTGGATTGCCCAGATCCAGGCCGTGCTGCACGTGGCTGCAGGAGGAGACTTCCTCTAGAAGGCAGCTACACATCTACAGTGTTTTGCACAGTACAGCTCGCTGACAGCTCACATGATGAGAAGTGCTTCTCTCCTTGCAAAAGCATAGCTGTCGCTAAAAAGAGGTTTCCATTGAAAAAACAGATACTTCTGAGCCTGACAACTCAATACCTTCAATTCTGTTTTCACTTCAGAGATTTTTGGTGGCTAACTGAAGGGAAAGGATGATGCTCTACTTCAGGCACTGAAGAAGACCCAATATCTCACCCCGATCCCTAACTTTGAAACTGGTTTCTTGTGTGATCGTGGACAAGACCCATAACAGCTTCTTCTGTGATTCTCCATTAAAAAAATATGGAAAACAATAGCCTTTTTTTTTACCCCTTCTCCATTTTTGTGTACCTCATATCATATAAACATAAGCACTTTGAAGTACTAACTGTTCATATATAAAGTATATAAAGTGGCTGCACCTGGCTGGTCTAAAGCTCAGTGTACAGTAACGTGTCTCCCACAGCACCAAGTAGCAGCTGTGTAATTAAGAGTATAGTAATAGGGCAGCTGCATGGTGGCATTTCTCAGAGTACTCTCCCAGCTTCCAGTGACCTGTGACATGAACTCACCTGAAGTACAAGATTTTATTTATTTGGAATCTGGTATCTGCTAGTTTTATGTGAAGTTTCACAGTGAAAAAGATGCTGAACAAGCTTTCTTTATTCTGCTTTCTACATGAGCAGACTAGCAAATTCTGTAATGGTAAAATCAAGATGGATTATATCCTGCACAGCTCTGAGTTGAACTCTTTCATTACTGTACTTTGCCATGCTCTCCTTCTCCCTCATTTTCCCAATTTATTTTGCTTTATCTCTTGAATACCTGCATGGGGCACCCTTCCTTTATGAAATGACAATTATATAGGTAAAGGCACATCTTCTTGACACAAATCTGCATGATTTCATTGAAATCAGTCTAGG